AGTCACGTCCATCCACGATCACTTGATGCCCATTTTGGAATTGGACCCCTGCGCAGACACACCAGGAAACGAAGCCCGGACGAAGTCAAGCAGACTATCGATGATGTCTTTCAGACGTACGACGCCTTTTCTTGATCGCCTAAAGAAAGGATCACTGCTGTCCGATGAATTTAAGCTTGGGGGAGAGATGAGTTCGGTCTTTGCGCGCGATTTGATCGGTATGAAAAAAGACAAGACCGATCCTTTAGCTAACGAATTTTCGGCCCGAGTCTCGTGCGTGTCTTTCTTTGTTCGATTATCGAAACGCACTGACACTCTTAAAGTCTGCTCTCTGGCGCTTCGGGGACCGGGAAGACTCAGACATGTGCACGCCTCCTTGGAAAGGCCTGTGGTTTTGGTATTTCCTGTCGGCGCTCCGAACCCGGAAACGATCCCACCGATCCTGGCTTTCGCAGTATGTCCGGCACGCTGAAATCTCTCGCACGCAGGTCCAAGTTCCACCCAATATCTGGCGACCTAGCGCAACTCGATGAGAATCGGCATATTGCAGAAAATGGCGTCGCGATTTCGGTCCTGTCTCGGGTTTCCGTTCTCGAAGCATTCCTGAAGTGCAAACCAGACGGTGTGTCTGTCGAGACTTGGAAGATGCAGTGGGCTTTGTTTGAGCTTCATCCCGAACTGTCATACAAGGGCTTTCCTGGACTCTACGAGGATATCTGCGAGCGCCTGGAAGAGGACCTTCAGACCGCTGCTCCATCTTCGGTTAAGGAGCTCCTTCGAGCTACTGTGCATCGGCTAAAATCCGACTTCCCAGAGTACATGAAGATTTTCTACTTCATCATTGACGAGGCTCAGTTTGGCGCACTGGAATACACCTCTTATTTTCGCTCTCGCGCTGACCCTGATCGTCCTCGCTCGTTCTTGACCGAGCTGGTTACCATTCTTACGGGGCTCGGCCTAGCCACTCATACCGTCATCTCCGGAATCAGCCTATCTGAGGACCAAATCATAGACTCCGTGCAGTCCACGACCGCTCGCTTGGGTACCCGCCTGAAGGTGGTCTCTATTCCAGATGGTTTTTACGACAAGGAAGAGCAACGGAAGTATATACTCAAGCATCTTGGGCCCTGGGCTGAACAGCGCAAAATACCGGTAAAGTCCTTCAAACGGCTTGTCCAGCGGATGCTGGACGTGTTTCCCGGCCGGTGAGTGTCCATACCTTGCTCTGCAGTCGCACATCATCCTTCTTACTCAATATTTTCCCAATCATCCAGGTATCGAGTGACCGCGTGCTTCATCGACATAGTGCTTCGATCCGATACCGAATGTCCTCATCGACTCTTCACTCTGTTTGCTCTGCGTATAACTGATGGCTATGTGTGTACGGATGGAGGTCAAATTGAGCGCGAAGAGGCATGCCTCGAAGACAAAGCGTTCAAGCTCGCCAACGAGATCAGACCGATGATCGACTGGAAGGAGTACGACTCCTTGCCTCCTGGTTCGTATTTCGATTACGCTGCACCATTATACTTGCATTGAACTGACTGTTTGTCCTAATCTAGACGTCAAGACGACGGTTATCCACATGGTCGCACGCTACATCACCACCGGGACCATGTCCACTGTCACTGACAAGGAGCTGAAGCTCGTCAAGGCTAGTATAGGGCATGTACGGTGCGAAGAGACCTACGACGGGAGCACTGACAAAGTCGGAAGCACTGGCTTAGGAGCCACTGGCAAAGGAACCACTCGCAAAGGAACCACTCGCAAAGGAACCACTCGTAAAGGAACCACTGGCTTGAACGGGAGCGCCGACGACGGGAGCACAGACAAGAACAGCGCTCACAAGTCCGAGTCGCGCGGCGCCGATGGACAAAAGGCCTTCGTCGTTTCCATCACCGAGCCGCTGGTGATTTTTTCTTTTATGATCCATTGCAAGGACGAGTTGATCAAGGCCGTGGGCGACTCCACGCGCTGGGCGCCCGAAGCCTGTTCCCAAGGACGATCGTACGAACTTCAGATCTTGGCCATCATCGCGCTGATGTTCGGCGGCCAATTCCGCAGGTTGGGCGATCTTCTTCTGTTCCGCGACAAATACAAATATCTGGAGGATCTCGAATGTGAGCTCGTCGCCATTTACAAGGTTGATGGCGAGTATGTCGCGTCCTCGGCTGGGTGGGGTTGTGGTCCTAGCTGTAGCCTGCTCGGGTTCAGCACCAACAAGGCCCCAGATTTGAAGGAGGCCGCTGAACGTGGTGTAGGAGTCGCGTTCTATCTCCCCGACCCGAACAACCACGTCGACGTGGACTTCTATGCTAGACCCAAAGGTTCTTCGAAGATTATCAGGATCCATCTGCAGGCCAAGTTTACTACTGGGGAGAACGGTAGCATCAAGTCAGTGACTTTCAAGGACGCCAAACAGT